TGAGTTTAAGATCTCTACATATATCTTTATTCCCAACATAACAGAGAGCAAATACAATATTCCTTGGTATTCAATTCTGGACCGTTTCTAAATTTCTATACTTGCTATTTTTGGTTTAGCCTCTTAATTTTACGCCATAGGTACACACCGGTTGCAATAGCTGTTTGTAAATTAATACTATGTTCTAGATGGAAAGTTAAGAGTACTTACTTATCACCTAATACATATATCTGTACTTTAATTACTATTAAACTGGGAATAAGCCACAATTAAAGATAAAAATACGTTTATTGACGTTTCAATTTCCACTTGCTCTAATTATGCTAAATGAGGCCAATTGTGTCGCAAATTCCTCGGCAGAATGTAGTAGGATCTGGTTACCAATATTGAAAGAGGAAGTTATTAATAAGAAAATACCAGTATTAGTAAGTCAGTAACATATAGAGAATACATCATTTATGTTTTTTAAATAACGTAACATATAAAATCAAAATTTTGATGTTTGTTGAAGGTAAACTAAATTCACGAACAAATACTTACAATGTCGGGATAATATTCTGAGGTTTTTTTCCTGGTTTTTCTCTCATAATTTACTATGAAATCACTAACAGGAGAATTTTACTGTCATCATGTCATGTGTTTGTCTTTTTAAAGACGAATTATATGCTATGATTTTTTTCTGACGAATATTCTCAAGTTAAAGTTGATTTCATGTAATCGAATGAACTATCTTATAAGTAAAGTCGTCCAAGGAGCGCAACTCAACAATATTGGCAATATCATTTTAAAGTCGTCTACTTTAAAATGCATAATGTATGTCTGAATTGTCAATATAAATGAGTCAAATAAAATTAAATTAGTAGAAGAATTTTTCACTATGTAACAGAAAACAAAATTTGTTTAATTTACTGTTTGTATTTTGAGAACGATTTCCGAAGTGGAAATTGAAACGTCAATAAACGTATTTTTATCTTTAATTGTGGCTTATTCCCAGTTTAATATTAATTAATTTACAATGCCACAAGAAAATAGCTTCAGAACAATATCTGTACTTTATCCTTAACGTTTCAGTTTTTTTAACATGGTCCTTTCATTTGAGGTTGACGTCCAGATTTAATCCCAGGTATTATGGTTTTATTATTAGAAACAATGCTGTTGTTTAAGATAGTTGAAAGATAATTAGTTTTCTTATTAGTAAAGTTATTATGAACTGATTACTATTCATTTAACTTTATGAAAAGACTAATGTGTTTGATGAGGTGTTTGAACACTTAGGACAAGTCAAAAATATATTACAATACAATACTTGACCTAAGTAACACATTACAAACTTGAAATAAGTAATTTATATCATTTTTATATTGTAGCATAGCTCTGATAATGGCTTTGTAAATTGAAAGCGCTTAGTAAAGAATTTAATTGTTTACACACCTTACAACACTTTCCGTTTTTCACTTATATTCCGTAGATTCTTCTATAGCTGCTACTATTTTCAGGAGTGCTGTTACATCAGCAAATTTAACTAGTTTAATGTTATCTCTCTCCGAAATGTCAGATGTTTACAAAACGTATAGTACTGGTCCAAGAACGCTACCTTGTGGAACACCCCAGAGTATTATTTTTCCATTTTAACTCTAAATGTTACCTGGTGTAGGTATGCCTACAATATTTTAACGAGTTGCATAGGAAGTATTTTCTTTAGTTTTAGTAACCGGCCATTTTGCCATACTTTGTCAAATGCTTTTGCGATATCCAGGAATATCGCTGAAATGAATTTTATCCCCTTACAATGCTTTTTCTTTTTCAGTTATTATTTGATGAATCTGGTCAAATGTAGGGTGTTTATAACAAAATAAAAATGTGTGTGTTACAATATTATTTTTTGTTTAATTACGTGGTTTAGTCTTCGTAGTAGCAGCAATTTTTCAAACACCTTTGAGATTACAAATAGTAGGGAGATTAGCCTGTATGATGGTAATTCATGGTTATCTTGTCCTACATTGGGTATCATTATGACCTATGCAGTTTTCCAAAGAATGGGAACATATATAAGTCTAAAAGATACATTTATTAGGGTAGTAAGCTTTATTATGGCTTTTCTAGGGTATTTTTTAGTATGTTTCAGTAGAAATGTAAGTGGTTGTAAAATTTTTGAAGTATAAAAACTGGTGTGTTTTGGAGTATGTGAGATACTTCGATTACTTTGTCTAAAATTATCAAATTGGCTTCCAATATGTGTAGACATCACCACTTAGGTTAGATTTACTAAAGTGTTATGACTGCAGTATTAACTCTTAAACGACCAAGAATATGTAGGTTCCATTTGTGCCCAGAGATGGGCACCTCGGATAAATAATATTCACCTCAAAGATCGCTAATATATTTATTAAGGACTGTTACAAATCGTAGAAATGGATTAAATTTGCTTAAAGAATCTCATGCTTAGTAAACACAGCACTTTCTAAAATATTTATAAATGATGTACAAACCTTACGAAACTAATGAACTATTAAAAAAAAGACTGACACAAGAAGGCTAGTTATCCATTCATTTCTACCAATAGTTTCTTTGGGGGTCATTAGGTGTAAATAAAGAAAATGCGTTCCAGAAAGCAATGTTTTATAATATAAAATATGTTGAAAATGGCCACCTGCGTGTATGTCTCTTGGAACTGTATGTTCTTGTCATTTGGTCTATTGTGTCGAGTTGACTTTTGATTGCATTATACAACATATTTATACAACACGTCACCACCATATTGTGCTATTGTGTAGATAAGAAAATTAGTAACTTTGTGGAGTTTATTCTAGAGACATAGAAAAGAACAGTAACTGGATCAGTGAATCTGTAAAAGTGAACATATTTAAGTATAGTTTTTTTATCTGGAGTTTTTTTGATAACGTCAGGTATACGTTTGCAGTTTTGTTGCATTATACCAACCATATTAAGTCCGAAATCATTACGTAAATCTGCTATTTCAATGAAAGTATAATAGCGATCTGTAGTAATGTTACGACCTGTATTCTTTATTGGTTTAACTAGACGCTTCACAATAACTTTTGGTACTGTAGACTCTGGTGTCTTAATTTCCACCTTTCCAGAATAAATCTCCATTTGCAAAACGTAATAAGATTTACAATCTGCTAACATCTAAATCAGCATCCCATACATTGCTGATTTATCTTTCATGAAAACTTTAAAAGTACACCTTCTTCTTACCATGGGCGGCATCTTATCAATAACGACATTTGCTCCTGAATTTAAGTGTCTTAAGAATGTGTAGTTCAATAATTCAAAGATATTTCTGCTTTAAAAGTGGTGCAAGTTTATCTTGTTATCTTGTCTCTTTATTATTAAATCACACAACAAATCTACATATTTTGCTATGTTTCTACTTATAGTACCAACATTGATAGTCCTGCTACATGCTTATAATCACAAAGCATGGCAGTTCAGCTTAGTATCTACATTTACACCCATTAAAATTAAAATACCAGTAAAAGCCCGTAATTCAGATTTGTCGATTTCTTTCATATTCTTCCTTTTAGCCTTCTCACTACTGTGTCTGATAATTTCGTCGATTATGTCATAGTAGTAAAAAAAATTATTAAAAATCGTTTGTAAAAGTTATATATTTAATTCTATGTAATTTAGATTTCCACAATGGTTGAAAGTTGTTCTTTAAGTTGATTGGAACATTTCCTGGTGTTTTAATCTTACAAAAAGTAGGGAAGACCTGGTTGTTTATGCATTGAGAGATGAACCAAATATCCAACTTCAAAGTACATCTTTTAGTGGCTAAGCGCATGTACTGAGGAGCCAAGTTGATCATACCGTCAAATAAAAATCCGCAAGGAATCTACGTTCCTGTAGTTGGCTGTATACCATATATTAAAAAAAATTATTAAAAATCCTTTGTAAAAGGTATATGTTTAAAAGAATATATACCTTAAATATATACCTTTTACAAAGAATTTTTAATAAATTTTTTTAATATATGGTATACAGCCAACTACAGGAACGTAGATTCCTTGTAAATTTTAAAAGTGACTCTGTAATCGACGTTATATTCATTATAGAAGAATTTTAAAAGTTTCCTGGGTGGAGAAGATTCTAAACTCCACCATACTAGAACGTCTCAGCAAGACCACTGAGATCCTTAAAAGCATCAAGCAGACAAAGCTGGAGTATTTCGGATAGGTAATGAGAGGGTTCCAAATATAGGTTGCTACAAAATATTATGCAAGGAAAAATAGCAGGCAAACTCAGTCCAGGACGAAGAAGAACCTCATGGTTGAAGAACTTGCAAGATTGGTATGGTGTTGATACAAGCATGGTATGCAGGTATGATGTTATTTAGGGTGGCAGTGAATAAAATTAAGATAGCAATGAGGGTAACCAACATTCTGAAAGGACATGGTACATAAAAAAAAAGTAATAGACGTAATGATAGCTTCATTGCGTAGACCTTCTCGTGTTTAGAAGATTGGGCTTCTTCGATCTTACATTCCTTTTATATTCCTCCAAATTCTTGGAAAGTGAGCCAAGAATGCTCTACCTGTGTTACTCACATACTGATGCACATGAGTTACATCGTCGTTGTTATTCTGAGAATCATCAATTTTAAAATGTTCGCTGTGGGAATCTAGTAAAATCAAATCTTGTCGTTTACATCGGGATTATTATCGGCATACTCAATGTCTGATTCACTAGCACTATTGTGTATCTTCTCTATTTCTAATTTTAACTCGCGCAAATACTTGCTTATTTTTAATTAATTGCGTTCACTACTTCCTTACTATATAAATCATTATACTTTTTACATAACGTTAAATTGTAAACTAAGAAAATTAGATCTAAGGTCCATATTAAAGGACTATTAGCACTAACGATTACTAACCATAACTGTAGACAAAACATTACTTTTGATCTCGCATATATTTATGTTTTGATATATTTTGTTAATTTTATAAACTTTTTAAGTACTTTACAATTTTTAGAAAGCATGCGAAAAAATCCTGTCGTATACTATCAAGGTAAACTATGTACGGAAGAATTCACATACACTCCAACAAATCCAGATTATAAAAAAATTAGCGTTACTTTAAAACCAGGAGACGCTATTATGTTACCATTCGAAGGATTACAGAATGACCCTAAACATTTTGATAATCCTGATCAGTATCTACCAGAAAGGTTTTTGGAAAATGACTACAATAAATTTGCCTTTTTTCCATTTGGAATGGGACCACGTGCTTGTCTAGGTGAGTAATGTTTAATAGAATTTGAACACACTTGTTTGTATTCAACTTGCGCTGGTTCACTGGTAAAAATAGATTAATTGAAACGATGTGGACTGTAATTTTTTAATGGTAATAGAATAGAGATGTTACAATTCTAGGTATATGTTAACACTCTTACTTCTTGATTGATTCTTACTTACTTGCAAAAATGGATAGCGCATGGCCAAGCGCGGTGTTGCCACGGTTGCCATTTAACAAAATTAATAAAATTCCGAACATAGCCCCCCTTTGAAGGGCACCTTCAAAAATATACATATACAAAAAAGAATGAAATAGTGACATAACTAAATACACAATAAAGAAAATAAACATAAACACAAAAATAATTGTCAATTAATAAGGTCGTCTTGCATGGGTAGAGGGCACAAATGTCTTATTGAACGAGTAACTGTTGTATTCCTGGTGGTTACTTCTGCTACTCTGGTCTCTCCGTCTCTACCTGGATGTAGTTTAGTAATTCGTCCTGTGCTCCATCGATAGGGAGGGACATTATCAGTTTTAATCAGAACCAAGGTCCCTAGTCGAAGCTTGGTGGATGGATCCTTCCATTTAAACTGCTGATGGAGTTGAGATACATATTGTTTCGAAAATTGTCTCCAAAATTGTTGATAAAGCTGTTGAACATGTTGAAATCTTGACAAGCGACAGCTGGCTATATTTTCTACGTCATACTCTGGCAATGACGTGAGAGGTCTACCAATTAGGAAATGGGAAGGTGTAATAGGAGATAGGTCATTAGGACTATTTGACATTTCAAATAATGGTCGTGAATTCAATATACCTTCTACTTGTATGATAAGTGTATTAAATTCTTCAAATGTTACATTATTATTAATTAATATACGTTTTAAATGATGTTTAGTGCTTTTAACAGCTGCTTCCCACAGCCCCCATGATTGGGTGTATAAGGAGGAATGAAAATCCATTTTATTCGTAGGTCGCTTGTAGCTTGTTCAATAGAACTATAATTGTTTTGTAAAAAATGTCCTAATGATTTAAGATAATTGTTGGCTCCAATAAAAGTGCTGCCATTGTCTGAATAAATAGTACTAGGTATACCACGTCTAGCGGTAAATCTTTTTAAACTTGATAAGAAGGTCTCTTTTGTAAGATCTGACACAACTTCTAAATGAACAGCTTTTGTGCAAAAGCAAATGAATAATGCTAAATAACATTTGAATACTTTAGCCCCACGCCCTTTTTTGTTGAGAATATTAAAAGGACCTGCATAATCTATACCAGTTACATCAAATGGAAAATTCGGTTTAATTCGATTATTTGGTAGATTAGACATTGGACTTAAAAATGGGGTAGGATTAAACTTGAAACAAGTTAAACAATTTTTGACAACTTGTTTTGCTAAGACACGTCCTGCTATAGGCCAGTAACGTTGTCTTACTGCTGAAAGCAATAGTTGAGGACCTGGATGAAATAGTTGCTTGTGTTTATATTCGAAAATTAATTTAGTAAAATAGTGTTTGGATGATAGAAGAATAGGATGTCTAGTATTAAATGATAAATAAGTATTGTTGAGTCTACCACCCACTCGAAGTATTCCTTTATTATCCATGAATGGAGTTAATGAAGAAAGTCTATTATTTTTTGGAAGTTGCTTTCCCTTATCGAAAAAGGATAATTCGTCGGCAAATGACTCTAATTGAACTTGTTTGACGATACGAATATGAGCTTCATCTAATTCTGCAATAGATAAGTTACCAGTACGCTTGGTAGTTTTATTTCGTAAATTGTAAATGAAACGTAAACAATAGACTGTTATTCTTTGAAGCATAATAAAACTTGAATATCTACTGATTAAATCTGATAATTGTACTGATATAAGTTGGAACACTTTAGGAGTCTTTCTCACTTCTGTCAATTCTGACGTTTTTAACTTAAAACCCACATTGGGCCATTCTGACTGTGGCAATTGCAAAAACCTTGGTCCATTCCACCAAAGTGTATTGGAAATTAATTTGTCGGGCATAATACCACGAGACGCAATATCTGCTGGATTACTTGAACTGTTAACGTAATTCCAGGTGAACATGTTAGACAATGCTTGAATTTTTGTTACTCGATTAGCAACGAAAACTTGTAATTTACTAGGATCAGTATGAATCCAACTTAATGCTACCTGAGAATCAGACCACATGAAAATGGGAACATTTACCTTAATGGCTTCTGTTACTATTTTTATTAATTGTATCCCTAATAGACAAGCACAAAGTTCTAGTTTAGGAACAGTTATAAGTTTTATTGGCGCAACTTTAGTTTTTGAACACAAAAGATTAATGTGATACTGATTCGAATCATTGACGCTTCTAAGATAAATGCACGTAGCATATGCAGCTTTCGATGCATCACAAAAACAATGAATGTCAAGTAAAGTATTCGAGACAACTTTACAAGGAATAGATATCTTATTGAAAATACCAAGATTAGTTTGAAATTGTAACCAAGTCTGTTGCAAATCCAAAGGAATCGGAGTGTCCCAGGAAATATGAAGAGTCCATAATTGTTGAATGAGCATTTTTGCAATAATAATAGATGGACTTAACAGACCTAGAGGGTCATATATCTGAGCAATAATCGATAAAATGTGCCTTTTAGTAAATGGTTCATGACTACGTAACTTGTTTATGTTAAAAGTAAATGAATCAGACGAATTTAACCACTGGACACCTAATGTTTTGCAACTATCATGATCTCCCAAATTTAGTACTGAATTTGAGACATCGGATTCTTGAAAATTAGTAATTACTTGCTGATCATTGGAGACCCATTTTCTTAAAACAAAATGAGCTGACTTGAGTATATCGTAAATAGATTTGCATCTTTCTTGTAGTTCGCTTAGATCATTAGATCCAGTTAATAGATCATTGACATACATATCATTTAAAATTGTGCTAGAAGCTAATGGAAACTTGTCTAAATTGTCTTCAGCTAATGTTCTGATACATTTAATTGCTAAATATGGTGCAGATCTAGTGCCGTATGTCACGGTGTTAAGTTGGTAAATAGCAAATTCTTCGCTAGTATCTTTACGCCAAAGAATTTGTTGTAAATATTTATGCTCTGGATGTATGAGTATCTGCCTATACATCTTAGAAATGTCTGCTGATACAACATATTTATAAATTCTGAATCTTAACAAAATGTTTAAAATATCGTTCTGCACTTTTGGACCTACATATTGAAGGTCATTAAGAGACCATCCTGATGAGCTTTGGCAGCTTCCATCAAAGACGGTTCTAAGTTTTGTAGTAACACTAGACTCTTTTAATATGCCATGATGTGGTAAAAAATAGGACTATTCTGAATTAATAGAAATTTTATTCATATGACCTAGGTTTTCATATTCGTGAATAAAATCAAAATAAAGTTACTTAAAATAGGAATTGGAGAATTTTGATTCTAATGACTTAAATCTTTTAATAGATATTTGCTTTGAATCGCCTAATAAACTAGGAGAGTATTTTAAAGGCAACTTTACAACGAATTGTCCATTCTCATCACGAAATGTGTCTTGTTTGAATAAGGATTCACAAATGCGATCGTCTTGAGACAGAAATTCATTCTTGGTAGGAATATCTTCAAGTTCCCAAAACTTTTTTAATTGATCATCCTCAGGGATGTGTACTTTAATAAAATTGCATACATATTTATCTGAATTAATTGGAATTGTACCTGTTAAAACCCAACCCAATTGAGTATTGATTAACAATGGAAGATTTTTACCTAATGAGATTTTATCTTGTAATATAAGATCCCAAAAAATGTGAGCTCCCAGCAATAAGTCAATTTCTTTAGGACAGTTGAATTCTGGATCTGCTAAGTTAATATTGTGAGGTAATCGAATGTCATTCATACCAATAGGATAAGCAGGTAATCTACTTGATATGACTGGTACTACTAGACATGATATACTAGAACTGAAATCTGAAAATTGTGAAAATATTTTTAAAAAGCATTTTTTATTAACGTTAGACGAACGTTGACTAATACCAGTAATTGAACAATTTGTATCAGTTAATTGTAGTTTTAATTTATTGCAAAAACGTTCGGTGATTAAGTTCATTTGTGCACCGCAATCTAGTAAGGCTCGGCACTTATGATAATTACCAGCTTGGTCTTTAATATTACATATAACTGTAGCTAATAAAACTTGGCTTTCATTCTTTGCAAAATTTATACTTATTTGCTGTTCTAAATTATCATTTCTATGATCAGAAGTAGTAGGTAAACTTACTTGGTGACTGGTGTCACGAATTGAAATTTGTGCATAATCTTTATGAAGCAAAGTATTATGTTTGTGAGTTTTACAGATAGGACATGGACCAAATTTACAATGGTTCTTATCATGCCCACTTAATAGACAATTTTCGCATAATTTATGTTTTCTAACTTCTTGAAACCTCTGTTCGACCGATAAAGCTTTAAATGTAGGACACTTATAAATTGAATGTTCCTTTTTGCAGAAATTGCATCGGTTTTTAACTGCAAAGTGTACTAAATTGTTAGATCTGTTATGATACTTGTTTGAAGTTGAAACTTGTGATTTGAATGCTTGAGACTCATCTAAACTTTGTAATATATCTGTTTTATTTTTTAAGAAATTAATAAACTGTTCTAAAGAAGGTAAATCATTTGCAAATTTGGTTTCTTTCCATTCCCGTATAGTATTTTTCTCAAACTTGTTAACTAAGATATGGATCATGAATGAATCATACAACTTTTCTTTTGGTATGTCAATACCTTCCAAAGAAGTTAAATGTTTTGATATTTCATCCAACATTTTTCGAAAACTAGCATAATTATTATCTTTTTGTATCATTGATAAATTTAATAAAGATTTAAAATGGCTATCTATTAGAAATTGTTTTTTATCGAACCTATCGCATAATAACTCCCACGCTCTCAGAAATGGTTGCTCTACATTATCTAATCCTTCAACACAACTA